GAATTTTGATCAATTTGAAGATTCCATGATACGCCAAGAACGAGGTGATCTCCAAAGCATACAACCTTCCTATCACTTAAATGAGAAAAATTACCTAAAATGGCCTCAATTCATGAATACATATTAAGGGAAAAGAAAAATACACCACCTCCTCGGAGGACCAAAAGGAGGATATCCTAATTTTGAGGCATGAGATGAAGCGGACTCCATGATTATGTCACGGTTGTGGAATTTTATGACTCGAAAAATTAGCAATACCATTATGTTCCTTTCCACTGCAAAGAACATATGAGATGCCGCCAGACAAACTTATTCAAAAGCTCGAGATGTTGCTCAAATCTTTGAAATTAAAGTCAAAGTATGAAACACAAAACAAGGAAACAAGATCGTAATCGAGTATGTCACTCTTCTACAACACCTATGACCATAACTTGATCACCACAGATACATAGAAACCAGGCGTCCAGAAGATGCGGCTATCCTAAAAAACTTAATTGAAAAAGATAGAGTTTATGATTTTCTTGTAGGACTAAATACATAATTTGATCAAGTAAGAGTCTAGATCCTTGGCAAAGAGAAGACACCATCACTAAATGAAACCATCGCTCTCATCCGCGCTGAAGAAAGCTGACGAGGTGTAATGTTAGAGCCAAAAGTAGTTGAAAGCTCAATAATGATAACCAGAGAAGCACCATGGAAGGAGAAAGGTAAAAACTGCAAAATTCAAAGACAGAGACTCTCTTTGGTGTAGCTGTTGCAATAAGTAAAGACATACGAAGGAGACATGCTGGAAGATACATGGAAAGCCCCCAAGTAAGGAGTGAAACCAAAGAAATGAGAAAAGAGACACATCATATGCCAACACCACAACAAGTCAGCCTAACCCAAAAATACCGACTAGCTTCAAAGAACTCAATAAAGATGACATTGACAAACTCAGACAACTCCTGGTATCCCTTGAAAAATCATATGCATCTTCATCTTTTGCACTTTTAGGTAAGTTTGTCATATTCACTGGACTAAGTACCTCTAGAAATCCTTTGAAAGGAATATTGATCATTAACTCAGGAGCTACATATCCCATGACAAACTCCACTACCCAGTTCATCAATTATGATCCTTGCCCATAGAAGAGAAAATCATCAATGCTTATGGTTCTTTTGCCATAGTACAAGGCCAAGAAGACATACTCTCATCCCATTCCCTCACTATAAAAAATGTGCTCCATGTACCTCAATTATCCACAAATCTTATATCCATACAAAAATTTATTAGTGACCATAATTATCAAACATTATTTAACCCTACCTTTTGCTTATTAGGACAGGGATTGGGGAAGATGATTAGACTTGCTAAGGAGAGAGCTGGACTATACTACCTGAAAGAGCTGAACAAATTTAAAAATAGTTGCTCTATTTATCCTTGATTGACAAGAAATCTACTATCTGACTTAATCACTTCAGATTAGGACATCCATCATTAGAGGTCTTCAAACATATGTATTCAAAATTTTTTCATAAATTAGAAAACGAAAATTTTCATAGTGAACCTTGTGAATTAGTCAAACATAAAAAAACCTCTTTTCAAAACAAGAATGAAAGATGTGATACTCCCTTCTATCTCATTCATAGTGACATATGGAAACCCTCAAAGATCTCCAACATCTCTGGAGCTCGCTGGTTTGATCTTTTATTGATGACAGTACTCGAGTATCTGAGATCTATCTCCTCAAAAATAAATCTTACATTAGCACCATTCTTCTTATTTTTCACACCATGATCTAGAATCAATTCGGTCAAATAAAAAGATTTTGTTCTAACAATGCTAAAAACTACTTCAACCAAACCCTATACTCTTATTTTCAGAGTGAAGGTATCATCTACGAGTCCTGCATTCACACCCCGCAACAAAATATGATTGCGGAAAGAAAAAATGGTCACCTCCTAACCTCCACTCGTGCCTTCCTACACCACAGTATGCCCAAATCCTACTGGGGGGAAGTCCTAACCGCCACTTACCTCATAACCTATTAGGCTATTACCTTCAAAAACCTTGGGGCTGAAAGCTCCCATGGAGATTTTATCCTTCTTTTACCCCGAGTTTTGGACCCATAATAACCTTACATCCATAATATTTGGGTGCACTGCCTATGTTCACATCCATAGCCAGAATAGAGGAAAACTAGATCTAAGGGCTCTCAAATGTATCATCATTGAATACACTGCTACCCAAAAATGTTACAAGTCCTATCACCCCCTACAAAGAAAACGCTTGTATCCATTGATGTCACTTTTGATGAATAAAATTCTTGCTTTACCAAACCTCATCTTTAGGGGGAGACTGAAACAGAGAAAGATGATGAAAGTATGCTTGCCCCTCTTGACCTTCCTCCACCACATTAAACCAATCCTCCAAAAATTCAAAATAGGGAAGTTGAAGACAAAACTATCCTTAGATTTGGGAATGTATATTCCAGGCGTACAAGTTCAAACTATGCTCCAAAGCAAATCCAAGAATCTGAATCATCCCCTTGAAATAAGGTAAGTTCACCACCTCCCTTATACCCTATAATCAACTATATATCCTTCAATAATTTTTCCTCCCCACATAAAAATTTCCTGGTTACACTAGATGATATTCATATTTCTAATGATATTTTTAAGGTCTTATCTGATGAAAATTGAAAAAATGTCATGAAGGGTGAAATGCAGGCCCTAGAAAAGAACAATACACGGGAGATAATCAACCTACCGATAGGAAAAAAAATAGTTGAATGCAAATGGGTGTTCTATGTAAAATACAAAGCTGATAGTCACTGAAAAAATACAAGGCAAGACTAGTGGCGAAATGGCACACTCAGATATATGACAATGACTACCAGGAAAACTTTGCACCCGTAGCCAAGATGAATACTATCAGAATCCTACTCTCAATAGTAGCTAAGTACAATATGCATCTGGAATAATTGGATGTAAAAAATGCATTCATACATGGGGATATGGAAGAAGAAATCTTTCTAAAAAATATCACAAGGATTTAAGCAAAATTCTGGAGGTAACAAGGTGTGTAGACATAAAAGGGATATGTATGGGCTAAAACAATCAACTAGGGGTTGGTTTGGAAGGTTCTCTAAATTCATGCTTCTTAATGGGTATAAAAAAAAGTCAAGGTGACCACACACTATTTTTTAAATACTCGGACTCATGAGAAGTTACAATACTATTAGTGTATGAGGATGACATCATCTTGATTGTGAATAATAAAAAGGAGAAAGTATGTCTAAGGAAAAATCTTACCAAGGAATTTGATATCAAAGAACTTGATAGACTAAAATACTTTTTTGGAATTGAAGTAGCTCACTCCAGCAGAGGAATATTCATCTAACAGTAAAAATACATTAAAGATCTTTTGAAGGAGACTGGAAAACTAACATGTAAGCCAACACCAGTAGAACCAAATCTCAAATTGGGGAAAGCTAAAGAAGATCTAGATGTAACAAGGATGCTTACCAGAGACTTGTGAAAAAATTGATCTACCTTTCCCACACCATACCAAATATAACATTTGTTGTAAGTATGGTCAGTCAGTTTATCCAAAATCCAAAATAAACACACATGCAAGCAATAGACAGAATACTAAAATACCTTAAGAGAAACCCTGGGAAAGGGATTCTATTTAGAAGAAATCACGGAATAACCCTAGAAGCATACACTGACGTTGATTATACATGATCAACAGTAGACAGAAGATCTACCTCTGGATATTGTACATTCCTTGGACGGAATCTAGTTACATGGAGAAGCAAGAAACAAAATGTGGTGGCAAGATCGAGTGCATAAGCAGAATATAGAGCTATGACCTTATAAATATGTGAGCTATTATGGATCAAGATGATTCTAGAAGACCTAAAGATCAAGTGGGACGATCCCATGAAGCTATATTATGACAACAAATCAGCAATCATCATAGCCCACAATCCAATCCAATATGACAGGACCAAGCACATAGAAGTGGATAGACACTTTATCAAAGAAAAATTTGATTGTGTCTAATATGTATCAACCATGTATCATCTAAAAATCAACTTGTAGATATCATTACCAAAGGATTAGAGAATTCTACATTTCTCAGAATGATTGACAAGCTGGGAATGACAGATTTGTATTCTCCAGCTTAAAGGGGAATGTTAAATCTCAGTCCCTAGTTCCTGTATGAATCCAACGGCTTAGGATAGAGATCTGCGGGAAGCTCTCTTGACTCACATTGAGTACCTTCCATAACTAGACATCTGATTTATGAAGGAATATATTACAGCAAATGTTCATTATTTTGTAGTTTTTTTGTTTCCTAAATAAGACCGTTTGTATAGATCTATAAATAGGGATGATGTTGCATAATAAAACTATGATTTTTCTCTCTCAAATCCCTGATTTCAACAATTAGGATACGCAACATTCCTCATTTCTTAATCCTTTGGTTTAACTGAACCAAACCATCTATATTGCTATTCACCAGACATCGTTAAGAGGCTGACGTTTGCATAGAAAAAAGAGATGGTTATGGGATTATCAGAGGCGGTACATTGAAGGCACTTGAATTCCCATGATATAATGGTTTCCATAGAATGACCACTGAAAGTGCAGAAAATTGGATTGGATCATGTGTCCTGCCGGTTCAGACTAAGCTGTCAGAGTCCGGAACCTTGTGAGCACTGAATACACGTGGGGGGGGGGAATATTTCTTATACATGCACAAATTTAATAGATTATTGAGTTTCATATGTCATTGTCAAACATCATGCTTATTTAAGACAGCCTCGCACAGAAAGAAAAAGAAGCTTAAAGACTAAGGACAGGCCCTATTACTAGATAATATGGAACATATAAGAACACACAAGCACAAATTCAAAGATATGGGCATGGCTATAAAACCCATGCTTCTAAAACATTGCATAACCAAGTTTGGAAGCTTATCAGAGTTTTACAGTGGTGCTTTCGTACCAATACTCAAGGCTTGGTTCAGATGATTTATCCTCCTCAGCCTGTATGAAGTAAACAAAATCTTCATAACCCATTTTTCCTTCAACTTTGCTAGTAAAGCTTCTAGGAACCTGATACACAACAACAAAAGAATGTCAAGGAAAAGATCAAAGGTTTGCAGACAATCAGTAATAAAAAATTAACAGTTTTAGTCAATAACACGATCTATGACAACAAACCTCCGCAAATATTCTTTCAACAACCCTATACGTTAATGCATGATTGCCATATTTTATAAGATTCTCTTTGTCAATCAAGAAATCATGATCTGTATCAAGCTCCCAGAACTTGCAGTATATAACATAAAAGTGCTCATACGAGAAGTACCTACAAGGCACCCATGAAGCATTTACAGTTATAAAATAGAACAAATATAATAGTAGCTTGTAATAATCCACACCTACTCTCACGGCCAATACAAACCTATATGGTGCATGATGCACATATGCTACATCTTAAAAGATTTTTATAAAAAATTGTCACCATTTCACATCACAAAATTGGAAAAAAAAAACATTACCAAGATATTGCACTCCATAGTGGAAACAGCATCATCAAAGTACTCTTCAACGAACAGAATTAAAACCATCCGTTCTCAACAACAACAACAACAACAACAACATCAAGCCTTTATCCCACTACGTGGGGTCGGCTACATGAATCCTTTTTCTCCATTGTGTCCTATTAAAAGTCAAATTCTCGTTTAAATCTAATAAAGAAAGGCCATTCCTAATATTTTCTAACCAAGTCTTTTTAGGTCTACCCCTACCTTTCTTAACATAAGTCAAATCTAATACCTCTACTCTCCTAACCGGGTCATCGCAAGGCCGCCGTTTTATGTGACCAAACCATCTAAGGCGACTTTCTCTAATCTTATCTTCTACTGGAGCTACTCCAACCTTTTCACGTATATGCTCATTTCGTATCCTATCTCTAAGGGTAAAGCCACTCATCCACCTGAGCATCCTCATCTCTGCCACACTTAACTTAGTATTATGCTTCTCTTTTAAAGGCCAACATTCGGCACCATAAAGCATTGCAGGCCTCACTACCATCTTATAGAATTTTCCCTTAAGTTTGAGGGGTACATTTCTATCACATAACAAGCCCGATGCATTCCTCCACTTCAATCATCCAACTTGAATTCTGTTGATAATATCCCCATCTATTTCACCATCACTTTGAACAATTGATCCAAGATATCTAAAACGTGTACTCTTATTAATGATTTGATCGCCCAAAGTCACAATCCCTTCAGTAGGTCTATTACTACTAAAATTACACTCCATATATTTCGTTTTAGATCTACTCAAGCGAAAATCTTTAGACTCTAAGGTTGACCTCCATAATTCAAGTTTACCTTCAACTCCCTCTCTAGTCTTATCAACAAGAAGAATATCATCAGCAAAAAGCATACACCAAGGTACATCCTCTTGCAAATGTCTAGTGAGAACATCCATGACTAAAGCAAAAAGATATGGGCTTAAGGCTGATCCTTGATGTAACCCAACCGAAATAGGGAAATACTTGGTCAATCCACCTTGTGTTTGAACACATGTAATAGCTCCTGCATACATATCTTTAATGATTTGAATATAAGCATTATTGACTCCTTTCTTTTCAAGAACTCTCCATAGCACTTCTCTTGGAACTTTATCATATGCTTTTTCTAAATCAATAAATATCATATGTAGATCCTGCTTATTTTCTCTATATTTCTCCATCAAACCTCTTAATAAATGTATGGCTTCCATAGTCGACCTACCCGGCATGAATCCAAATTGATTTTGAGAAACATTAGTATCACGCCGCAACCTATGCTCCATAACTCGCTCCCATAGTTTTAAAGTATGACACATTAACTTAATACCTCTATAATTCGCACAATCTTGTGCATCACCTTTATTCTTAAAAATATGAATTAACACACTCATTCTCCACTCATCTGGCATCTTCTTAGTCTTCAAAATAGTATTAAAAAGTTTAGTAAGCCATGAAATTCCTTCATCTCCTAAGCATTTCCACACCTCTATTGGAATATCATCAGGTCCAACAGCTTTTCCACCCTTCATTTTCTTTAAAGCCTCTCTAACTTCAGTTTTACTAATACGCCGATAAAAACATAAATCTTTATTTTCATCTAGGGTGCTAAGGTCACTATAGTCAATCTTATTTTCACAATCTTCATTAAAAAGTTTAGCAAAATATCTCATCCATCTTTGTTGAATATCATCTTCTAAGAAAAGTATTTTTTGATCTTCATCTTTAATACACTTCACTTGAACTAAATCCTTACTTCTATCTCTTTGTTTGGCTAACTTATACATATATCTTTCTCCCTCTTTAGTATCTAATCTATTATATAAATCACTAAAAGCTAATGCCTTTGCATCGCATATTACTTTCTTAGCATCCTTACGAGCCATTTTATATATTTCTTAATTATCATAATTTTTAAAATTAAACCAATTTTTATAACAAAGCTTCTTATTTTTAATTTTTTCTTGCACATTAGGATTCCACCACCAACTATTTTTACTATTGGGAGCTTTTCCCTTTGATACTCCAATGACATCTTTTGCAATATTCTTAATATCAGTAGCCACTTTTTCCCACATAATATTAGCATCCTCATGCACAGACAAAATCTTAAGATCTAAAATCTTATTTCCAAAAATATATTTGTTAATATTCTTTAAATGCCCCCATTTAATCCTAGAAAATTGTTTTACTTTATTTTTTTATTTTATGCCCCTTTATCTTAAAGTCCAAAACTAATAAACGATGTTGGGTACATAAATTTTCACTCGAAATAACTTTACAATCTTTGCAATCTAAACGATTTAATTTTCTAATAAGAAAATAGTCAATCTGGGTTGTATTATATCCATTTTTATAAGTGAAAATATGCCTTTGTTGTTGTTGTTGTTGTCATTTTTAATATGATATTACATTAAACAGTAACATAAAAAACATTCAAATATATTCATTCGCATGCCTGGAGATCTGTGCAATTATAGATAAGCTTTCCTACAACACGAGCTATAAACTAAAATGAATAGAATAAGCAAATCATCATCCAGATGGGAGCACACACGACCAGATTAAACATCAGAGATATTAAACAACCAGAATAACTCCAAGCATATTCCATACAAAAAGAAATTGTGAGAAATAATATTAAATATCTCGTTTTACTTCCTTGCCTTAAAACCTTGTTGATGTCCTCCTCCTCATCAGCATGCTGCATTGCAGCAATTAGGTTCCCGCGCTTAAGCTCTCTAAGGGTTAGATGACCATTTCCAGATCTATTCACATAGTAGAATATTCGGTAGATAACAGTTTCAGCTGGAAGGTAAATGAAAGTGTGAAAACTGTTAGCTTTTTGAATAAATAAGTGAATAAAGAAGAGAAAAGCCTATAAAAAATTGTCAAGCACTGCACCAAGCATTTAAAGAAACGTAAACAAACAAAATGCATAAATGTAGAGCCACACTCCCACGCATATATAGATATATATAAATAAACTAGTCTTTTATTGTGCAGCATTGCATGGGATTTCAAAAAGAAAGACATCAGAACAATGCTTGTAATTTTTTCATTCAACGGCTGAATATAAAATCAATTGACATAAGATTAGGTAAATGAATATAAAAAGCAACAAAGTTTCTTTGCATTGCTAGAGAATTTGGCTGGTTTGCGAACGTGAGGAAGCAAACGGGGATTGGAGGTGGAAGGAGGCGAACGGGGTTGGATGGATCGGAACTTTCGGTTTGCTGGAGTTAGACGTCGGGCTGGGTGCAGAGACGAGAACAAGAGGGAAAGTCGGCTGAGGGAAACAAAGGCTCGCAGCCTGAAGGGGATTTGGATTGGAGGGTTTGCGGAAGTGGGAGATCATGGCTTGAGGAAGGGATGTCTGCTGCTTTGCTTGGAGTTCGATCGGTACAGGAGAGGATGCTTGTGGAGTTCGGGTGTGGAGAGCTGATCAAGAGAGCTGGAGCTGGCATTTGGCTGAGGGCTGCAAGGCTTTGAGAGCGTGACGGGAGGTAGTGTTTTGCCAAAAAGGATCGAAGGCTTCGTCTGCTGTCTCTTGAATAATATGAACAAGAGTTTGAAACTAAGCGAGGGTTGCGGGATTCAAGTTGAAATTGCGGGAGGAAGCGACGTCGGAGCAGAACTACAAAGGTAAGCGGGATTTCTAGGATTTTAGCGGGACTTTTGGAATACATGGAGGTGATGTGGAGGTTAACAAATGCCCCCCAACAAATGTGGTACGCGTCAGGAGCGAATCACATTTGTTGTAACCCGGTTGACCTTGTTGATCTCCAAATATTTATTCTGGAAATTCACACCCAGCCTCCCCTCTTTCGGGAGAGTTTTAACGAATTAGGTTATGGGGCAAATTTTCAGAAGGCAGATTGGTTTGAAATAAGATACTACTCAGAGATTTCACCCTCATTTTGCAAGGACTTTATGATCTAAGTTCTGGTTTCCTATAGGTGCAAGCCCCTATAGTTAATTATCTCTCTCGATAACAAGAGAGAACTTTCGATTAAGGCTAGTCGTCAATTAGATAATGGATATAAGTATCATTATAAATAAGAGTTTGAAGGATAATGTTGTAAATATTAATAGAATTGGAGATATAATTATAGTTTTAAAGATTATTATTGATATTAAGATTATTAACATTATAAGTGATAAAGCTCCTTAAGTAGGTTTGGATATATGTTCAAAATTAAAATTTTAGAATGACTTTGAAGAATTAATATAAAAAAATACTTAGAAGAAAGAGTTTTTATTGAAGAAGATTTAAATGGACATGTTGATAGAGAAGTAAAAAATTAAAAAAAAAAATCATGATGGTTATGAGTTTGGAGCAACTGATGAAGGTGGTAAGATCATATTAAATTTTGCACTAGCTTGTGATTTTATTTAAGAAAAGAAATGAGAATATCATTACTTATAAGAAATGAGAATATCATTACTTATAAGAATTGATATATTAAAATTCAAATTAATTATTTTCTTATAAGAAAAATAAGTCGATTAGATTGCAACAATTGTAAACTTATTCAGATGAAATTTTATGTACACAATATCATTTATTAATTTTGGACTTCAAAATGAAAAGGCTAAAATTTGAAAAATAAAATAAAATGTTGTTCTAGGCTTAGATGGGAGCATTAGATGAACATTAGCAAAAATATTTTTGAGAGTAACATTGTAGATCTTAAGATTTTATCTGTGCATGAGTAACCTAATGCTATGTGAGAATAAAAAGCTAATGATAATAAAAATATTATAAAGGATGTGCTTGGAGTATCAAAAGGAAAACCTCATAATAGTAAAAATAATTGGTGGTAGAATCAAAATGTGCAATACAATATTAAACATAAAAAAGCTTTGTTATAAAATTTGGTTTATATGTAAAAACTCTAAAAATTGGGAAAGATATAAAGAAGCTCATAAGGAGTCCAAGAAAGTAATATGCGATGCAAAGATTTTATCTTTTAATGATTTAAATAATATATTAGATATTAAGAATGATGATAGGTATACGTATAAGTTAGTCAAACAAAGAGATAGAAGTAGTAAGAATTAAGTTCAAGTAAAGCGCATTAAGGATGAAGATCAAAAAGTATTTTTATTAGAAGAGTATATTCAAGAAAGGTGGATGGGATATTTTGCTAAGCTTTTCAATGAAGAATATGAGAATACGATTAATTTTAGTGACCTTAGCACCATAAATGAAAATAGATATTTTTATCGGCATATTATTAAAACCAAATTTAGAGAGGGGCTTTAAAGAAAAATGAAGTGTGAAAAAGCTATTGGACCTGATGATATTCCAATAGAAGTTTGGAAAAGTGTTAGACCGGAACCGGCCCAACGAGGGTCAGCTAAACTAGCTCTAGGGCTGGTTTACTCTAGACAACCAAGCCAGCCGCCAGCCCCCTTGTGGGGCCCATTGCTTGAAGAGAAAGGGATGTTTTAGGCATGAATTGATTTAGGGAGGGATTGTTTAGTAATTGGGATCATATTTGTATGATTTAAATAGATGAGATTATTTAGGGTTAAGGTTATCTGGATATTTGTTGAATTTTAGAGAGTTCCTAGGGTTTGTTTGGGCTCTAGCAACCAAGTTGTAGATTGGGAGAGATGGATCCTCCTCTCCAATTGAGGATCCATTATATCTTGTTTAATTTCTTTCATCTTTTATCTTGTTTGGGATGAGATTGTTTATTTTTTATTATTTCTTCCAAATTCTTCTCTAATCTTACTTTGCAAGGGCTGCATTCAAATTCATCAAGGAAAATTCTTGTGCCTACAAGCGTTTCCTATCAAAATGCCTATAGATGAAAGAATTTCTTGGCTTACTAAACTTTTTAATATTATTTTGAAGACTTAAAAAGATATCAGATGAGTGGAGAATGAGTGTGTTGATTCTTATTTTAAGAATAAAGGAGATACACAAGATTGTGCAAATTATAGAGGAATTAAGTTAATGTGTCATACTTTTAAACTATGGAAGAGAGTTAAGGAGCATAGATTACAATATGATACTAACGTTTATCAAAATCAATTTGAATTCATGCTAGGTAGGTCTACTATGGAAGCTATACATTTATTGAGAGATTTAATGGAGAAGTATAGAGAGAATAAGGAGGATCTACATATGATATTTATTGATTTAGAGAAAGCATATAATAAGTTCGAAGAGAAGTGTTATGAAGAGTTCTAGAAAAGAAAGGGGTAATTTTTTTTTTTTAAGAAAGGGGTTAATAATGCTTATATTCAAGTCATTAATAATATATATGCAGGAGCTACTATTTTTGTTCAAACACAAGGTGGTTTGACCAAGTATTTTCCTATTTTAGTTGGATTACATTAATGATCAGTCTTAAGCCCATATATTTTTTTGCTTTAGTCATGAATATTCTTTCTAGACATTTGCAAGAGGATGTACCCTGATATATGCTTTTGTTGATGATTTTCTTCTTATAGATAAGACTAGTGAGGGAGTTAAAGGTAAACTTAAATTATGGAGGTCAACCTTAGAGTCTAAAGGTTTTTATTTGAGTATATTTAAAATCGAATACATAGAGTGTAATTTTAGTAGTAATAGACCTAGTGGGGGGATTGAGACTTTGCTCGATCAAGTCATTTATATATATTGGGTCTATTGTTCAGAGTGATTGTGAAATAGATGGGAATATTATTAGTAGAATTCAAGTTGGATGATTGAAGTGGAGGAATGCATCGGGCTTATTGTGTGATAGAAAAGTACCCCTCAAAGTTAAGAGAAAATTCTATAAGATGGTGGTGAGACATGCAATGCTTTATGACGTGGAATATTGGCCATTAAAAGAGAAGCATGATATTAAGTTAAGCGTTATAGAGATGGGGATGCTCAGGAGGATGAGTGGCATTACTCTTAGAGACAGGATACGAAACGAGCATATACATGAAAAGGTTGGAGTAGCTCCAATGGCAGATAAGATTAGAGAGTGTCGCCTTAAATGGTTTGATCACATAAAATGGTGGCCTATCGATGACTCAATTATGAGAGTAGATGTAATAGACTTGGCTTCTGTTAAGAAAGATAGAGATAGACCTAAAAAGATTTGGTTAAAAATATTAAAAATTATCTTTCCTTATTAGGTTTAAATGAGAACTTGACACATTTTTTTTACTCTTAATAAGACACAGTGGAGAAAAAGGATTCATGTAACCGACCCCACATAGGGGGATAAAGGCTTGATGTTGTTGTTGCTGTTCTTGTTGTATCTTTCTTTTTCTCTGGCAATTCTTTGTAATTAACTTTGTTATTGTTGGCTCAAGAAAAATGGCATGAATGCACGAATCCCGCTTTACAGACACATTTTTTTTACTCTTAATAAGACACAGTGGAGAAAAAGGATTCATGTAACCGACCCCACATAGGGGGATAAAGGCTTGATGTTGTTGTTGCTGTTCTTGTTGTATCTTTCTTTTTCTCTGGCAATTCTTTGTAATTAACTTTGTTATTGTTGGCTCAAGAAAAATGGCATGAATGCACGAATCCCGCTTTACAGCCGTAGGATTCCATTTCCCTTAAGTCAGATTGTAGTTAACCAGATTTCCCCTGAGGGTAGTGTCAGGGTTTATAGATCTGGGGTTCTTACTTCCTATGAGCGCTAGCGCCCATAGTTAATTACCCCTCTTACTACGTAAGAGAGAACTCTCGATTAAGGATGAATAAATTTTATATAAATTTAGTCTCAATTGGGAGAAATGGAGGTAAACCCGATCAAGATCCCATGGTTCCGTCGTCCCGGGTATACC